GGGGAGAGTGGGCAGTCCAGCTGAGACACTTCTCTGCCCAGAGCAATGGGAGCTGCAGTCAGAGTGCCAGCTGCAGATGCCCCAGTGGTCAGTAGGAGAGGAGGGCAGAGGGGCAGCCAGTTGGCCTGGGGTGGGGGGCTGGTGGGTGGGCAGAGCTCCTGGGGAGCTAACAGGCTCTGTCCCTGCCCTGGTGCCTGGCTTCTGTGGGTGGTCCTGGGCTGAGGGAAACCTCAGAGGGAACTGATGGGGTGGGCGGGGGCTGGGCTGCCAGGAACAGCTATTCCTCCAGGTTTGAGTGTATGCCCTGTTCTAGAGCCTGGAGCTCTGAAGGCTGCCTCTGGCTGGGCTGTGGCACTGTCAGCGGGGCTGTACCCCTACAGGTGCTTGTCCCTCGTGGAGGTTTTTGTTGCTGAACAGGGATGTGCTGGGCTGCTCCCGCTGCCCAGGTGGTCGGTGTAGGCAGAAGAGAGATCTGCCCCTGCCACAGGCTGGCTGCTTTCACCTCAAGCTACTGTCCACCAGACTCACAGAGCCACATGAGGGGAGGGGAACTTCTCCCTCCCCTAGGGGTCTCTGATCAGCTTCCCCAGACAGGATCCCTAGGACAGCTTTACCCAGATTGTGAAACAGTAGGGTTCAGGCCAGAGCCTGAGTATTCTGGAAGTCATTTTGCTGGGGTGAACTGAACTGGATAGGCTGGAATGGTTGTAGGCTGGGGGACAGGTGGAGACAGAGCCCTGGCTCTTGAGTGAGGCCACAAGTGTAATTGTTGGAGATATCCCAGGACTGGGAGGAGAGCCGGAGACATGGAAGCTGGGACAGGTGGGTGGGAAGGGGCTGCAGACACTGCCAGGAGCCCCGCCCTCCTCTGGGAATGGAGCAGTGGAGCTAGATGAGGACAGAGTGTGTTACTCACCTTTCCTCAGAGAGGTGAACAGGATGGCTCTACTGGCTGCCAGAGAAAAGCCAGGGTATGGGGTTGGACAGGAGATAACCTCCCAATGGGTGCATCTTGGGGGGCTAGCCCCTAGCTATCTTTCAGGGAAGAACTAGGTCCCACAATTCCCCAACCCTCAGGGAGTCAGCAGTGGACAAGATCATAGTAGGTAGTGATCCCACAAGGTGGAGCTGCTAAGGGCATTTGCTCCCCTAGGACTTGGGGCCTAACTCTTCCTCGCCTTCTTCCCTGGCCAGAGCCTTCTCCTCTGAGCAGGCAGCAACCCCTCCCAGATAGAGGAAGAATCAGAGCTGTGGGCATCAAGTTTCAAGGGCCAAGGTGGTCCATCCCTCTCTCTCATGTAGCAGCCTGCCTAAGCTATTGGCTTCCCCACCACTCAAGGTGTGTCAGCATCCCCCCACCCCTACACAATCCCTGTTTTTTTCCGAGCACACCCCAAATCCTCTTGCTCCCTCCACCCCAAGATTTCTGGCCTGGGGTCAAGCCAGGTCTCCCTACCTGGGTCATGTCCCTCTCATGACCCATATTCAGAGGGATCACATTGCCCTATTTTTCTGAAGCACGATGGGGGCTCTCTCCCAGACTGGGTCAACTTAATCTAGTTCCAACTGACCCCCATTGGCTCTGTGACCTCCCAGGGTGCTGTGACCCCAGAAGCCATTACAGACTCAAATACTACCCTCTGCTAGTGCCAGTCCAGTATGGAAGGGCAGTGGTCACTTGCTTGGCCTCAGTCAATAGCATCAGGCCTCACTGGCTCTAAGCTTGGCCTTTCCTGGACGAAGGAGGCTTCCCTGAGCTGAGAGCTCCCTGAGCTTCTCCTTGGAAGAGGTCAGTCCCTCTCCCTTCATTTCATCCCTTCCTGAGTGCCTTACTGGCACAGGTTTCTTACCCAGATTTACTGGCTGTGGACACCTCCCCAGAGAGGTAAGCAGGACAAGGATGTTATTCCCATTAGACAGAAGAGAAAACTAAGGCCAGGATAAGGCCAGTCCTAAAAGACCTAGAACTTATAACTGACACCCTGATGAGTGACTAGATGAGGACAAGGTACCTATGCTCACAAAAGTGTCCACCAGTTGCCCAGCTTCTCTGCCCCCAAATCCTCAAGACTCTAACTGCATTTGCAGGGACAGAGGGGCTAGGTTACTCTGAAGTGGGGGTGTTGAGCCAGAGCTTCCAGCTTTGCTTCCAGAGTGAGCATTTAAAGTCTTGCCTAGGCTGGCTGAAGACTGCTAGGATGAAGCTGCAGAGCGGCAGGCAGAGGGGTGGTGGGACGGGTTTCCTGAACCTGGTGATGTACCTCTTTCCCACCTGTGACACCTACTTCACCTCCTTGCATGCCCTATCCCCTATTCCTGCAGTAAGGAGGCCCTTGGCATCAAAGTCCTAAAATAGCCTCCTGGCATCATGCCTTGCTAAAAACTCTCAAGAGGCCTGTCACCACTGTCAACGTGAAGTCCTATCTCCTTGGCCAGACACACAAGGCCCTTTGCTAAGTGGCCTCTGCCAACCTTTATGGGCCTTTATGGGCCTTTATGAGCCAGGAGCAAGTTGTGCTCCTGGCTCAACTTGCTTCACCTTGTCCCCAACAGTCTAACCACACCAAACTGTGTCCCTGTCCTGGGATGGAGCAGAGCACAGCGGAGAGGCTGGCTCGCATCTGGGTTTGAGTTCCACTGGACACAGGCCTGCACATGTCCCCATGCCCACACAGATGCAGACACACATTTATATAAAAGCCCACCACCCACCTGCATGTGGCTTCCCACCAAATCACATGCACAATGGAGCTGTGAAGTCTGAGCCGAGAAGGGTCTGACAAACCTGATTTATGGATCCCTAGAGACACCAAGTGTGGTCATGTCACCATCCTCAAGCCTGTGAGGAGCAGAGGGAGACAGGAGTGGATCCCTGGTTCTGGCTAAGCCCTCACTCAGCCCCAGCAGGTGGGCAGAGGATGGTCAAATAGGCCCCAACTGGGTTCTAAGTCTGGTTCTGTGGCAGACTTGCTGGTAGCCTCAGACCAACCATCTTCCCTCTGTTTCTCCAGCTATAAAACAAAGGATTAGCTGACACCTAAGGGCTATCCAGGCTCACTGTTCAGCTGCTCTCAGTTCATGCCAGTTTCAGAGAATGGAAGGGCTTGTGAGAGCAGCAGCAGCAGTCAAGGGTGCCAGGCACCCTACAAAAGATCCAGTTGGGCCAGTAAGAGTCAGGAAAGGGAGCTGAGGTGGGCAGCAAGAATCTGAGTCAGGAGAGAGAGAGAAGCCAAGAGTCATGAGATGGGAGCAATTATTATGACCCATACTTGACATTTACAGAGCAAATGAGTCCTATTGAACACTCACCACGTGGGTTTTATGTCATATTTTCATCTAGATTGAGGCCAAATATATTTTCTGTTATCTTCGGGGTACAAATGAGAAATTCTAATGGGTTATGCTCAATCCAGTCCCTGGCCTCCCAGCCCCCACAAACAGACACAGGGCAGGGGCCAAGGTGGCACAGGGGGAGCCTCTGGCAAGACCCCACCCCCACCCAATCCCTCAGCAGGTGTGTAAACAGTCCTGTGCCCAAGCGACAGCTTATCTCCTGTGTGGAGTACCTATGTGTACACAAACGTGCACCGCCCCCACCCCCCCATCAAGGTATGCCTGCACCAACATGCACACACATGCACATGCTGGGGACATGGCAGCCAGGTCCTCTGCCACAGCCCTGGCCCTCCTGTCCTGCTCTTGTCTGGAACTTAACCCCCAGTGCTAATACGTGTGCTTCTGAGAGTAAGGACTGAAGCAGGCACAGGGAATATCTAGATGTTGCCCGAGGAGCACCAGTATGCCGGCACTGCCTGTGGGGACAATATCCCCTAACACTATGACCCCCAACCCCAGTCAGCATTAACTATATGCAGAACAGAAGGAACTGGTGCCTCAGAGGGGTGTAAACTCCTCTATTCCCTAAATGTCCTTGGCCTCAGAGATCAGCTCACCTTGTTCACCTCCCTCTCAATCCCCAGCCTGACTGATGTGACATCTCCAGTTCATGAACCACCTGCAAGCTGGGCTACCAGAGCCCAAGTGGGGAGGGAGTCTGTTCCTAGAGGGAGGGCATAACAGCTCTGGCCCAGAGCCTCTTACACCTTCATAAAGTAGGAGATGGCTGGGGTGGCCAGCACAAGCAGCCCCAGGCCTCGCTGTTCTCTATGGCTTTTTATTCCTATGTGATTCTACTGCTCACTCATATAGGGATTGGAGCCGTGGCGCACGGCGGGGGCGGCCAGCGGAGGGCTTGGAAACTGAGCACGGGGGCCCACAGAGGGCAGGGACAGTGGCATATCCCTGTCTCAGCACAGGCTGCTGGCCTCCTCTGTTGCTTTTCTCCTCACTGGCCCTTTCCCTGCCATCTGTAATAGGGAGAGGCAGGTGGCTGCTGGACCCCGTCACTGCTCTGGCCCACCATCACAGCAGTGGAGACGCCCATGGCAAGGCTGGTACCAGGAACACAATGGTATCCTGAGTAGTGGCTGAAGGATCTGGGGGTATTCAGACTGGGAAAAGAGCTGGCACAAGGAAACAAGGTCCAGTGTCCTATGTGGCTGGGGTGGCCCCTAGATAGAGGGCAGTCTAGCCAAAGAAGGTGTGTCTATGGCTAAGGGCTATCCAAGGCAGGAGGGATGTCCCTGGTGGGAGGTAGTAAGCAGGCACCTAGTGAGTCATATGGCAGAGGCTGAAGACCAGGGCAGGGATGCCACTGGGGAGTCACTGTTGGATGGGTGTCCAGGCCCTCCCAGACCCTACAGAGAGCAGTCCTTACGCCTGTCCTTCCTGGGCTCTCCGCTCACCTTCACTGAGTGTGTGGGGAGCCAGGCTCAACCACCCCATGCTCCTGCTGAAATGAAACAAGTGCCAAGTGTGCTGTGGAGAGAGGGTGTGGGGAACTCCTACTGGGTCCAGGTGCTGTGGTGCAGCCTCACCCTCTCCCTCCCCAGCAGCTCCCTGCAGGTCCTTGCTCTGAAGGAGGATGCACTGAGACCCCATAAAGTGGTCCTTTTTATTTCCAGTCCTTGCTTTACCCCACAGAAAAAAAACAGTCTCAGAAGCTCAGTAGTGACGCTGCCTAGGGGAATAGTGAACTGGCCAAGAGATTTGTCCTGGTCCTCAGAGGTACTTGCTGCCATGGCTAAAAGTAGAGGTGGAAGAGATACATCATCTTGCCAGTCTGATCTGAGGAACAGACATAAAGCAGAGACCCTGGGTGGGAGGTGTAAGAGCCAACCATGCAGCCAGGGCCAAGGAGGGGCTCTAAGGCCTGGTGAGACCCTGGGGACCAATCCTGGTCTGCCCCAGGACCCTACCCTGTAGGCTTCCTCTGGACTCCCAAAACATGACCTGTCATCACCGTGGCTTCAGGAATAGGAAGTGGACGTCCATGACATTGGTTCCTGTCAGCCCTGTGTACAGCAGATGGGCCCCACCTTGGAAGCGGTGGAAGAAGGTATGTGAGTCATTGTGGGCTAGAAAGGTGGCCACATCCAGGCCCTCAGCAGTGGCCTGGTGGGCAAGCTCAGGCATAATCCAGGCCCCGGCTGCCTCTGTGGGCCCATCCCTCCCATCAGTGCCACCACTCAAAAACAGCACATCAACAGGCCCCAGTGGCCGCTGTCCCAGCTCTGCTGCGACACGCAGGGCCAGTTCCTGGTTCCGGCCACCCTTGCCGGAGCCCTGCAATTGCACTGTGGGCTCGCCACCAGCCAGCACGCAGACGGGGCCCTCAGCCCCTGCCACAACCTCCAGGGCCTCCTTTAGCTGCAGGTCTGGGAGCTGGAGCTCAGCCGCGAGCTCATGGAGTTGTTCACCCTCCTCCATGGGGGCTCCAGTGCTGGGCAGAGTGAGGTGGGCTCCAGCTACTTGGGCCAGCAGCCCGTAGAACTGGGCCACACTTTTTACGTTGCCCTGCATGGCTGTACTCAGCACCACAGCCCGGTATCCCAGTGCCTCAGCCTGCCGCTGGGCCTCAGCCAGTGCAAGTGCATTGGAGCCAATAATCACATTGAGGACATGACCACAGGTGTGTGGCCCATGAGGGTCAGAGTCAGCCTGAGCCAGCACAGTTTTCACAGAACGTGGCAGGGCAGCACGGAGGCCATAGCGATTGAGGATATGCAGGCAATCTTGTACGTTGTGGACGCTGGCCACAGTGGGGCCACTGGCAATCACATCCACGGGGTCTCCCACCACATCTGATAGAATGAGGCTTATCACCTGCAAAGGGGTCAAAGGTGCAAGGCTCAGTCCTTCCTGATCCTCATCCCAGAGCTACGAGGACAAACTGCACCCTAATCCTATGTATCCACACACCCTACATTTCTGGTACATTTCCTCACCCATCTGTAACCCTTCTCAGGTGGACATGTAGACCCCCCCGCACCCTTACCCTCTCTGATAGCCCTGTGACCTCCTGTACCAGGCCCCTGACAGTCTGCATGCTGTTTTAGGGTTTCATCTGCCTGGCACATGTGGGTCTGGGTAAGAGGTGACTCACACACCTGGGCAGGGTAGGCAGCCTGAGCCAGCCCCCCACCCTTGAGCTGGGAGAGAGCCTTCCGGATGGTGTTCAGTTCCTGGATGGTGGCTCCTCGGGCTGCCAGCAGCTTGGTGAGTGTCTGTTTCTCCTCCAGTGTGACGGGTGGGATGGGGGCGGGAAGAAGGGCTGAGCCCCCACCTGTAGAGACAGTGATGACTTCAGGCAGGGGGGACAACCAAAAACCTTCCCCACCCAGGCACACAGTGGGGCACTGCACACATTAGGGAAGGAGTTGGGGGTGGGAAAGGTGGGGTTAGGGTGCCCCTATATGGACATGCATTGAATGTATGAACAGTCGCCATAACCTGGGCACCAGAGGTCTTGGGGTAGCCCAGGTCCCAGCATGTACTGGGAAAACTATTCCTTAAGAGCTTGAAATAGGAGGCAGATGGAAGCGTGGACGGTGGAGGACCAAAGAGAGGGTACTGGGGGCTGGAGACTTGGGTTCTAGCCCTAGGTGATACCAGACAGCAGCAACAGCAGTGACATTTCCCTTGAAAGACTCCGAGTCAGGTGCTGTTTGCCCTCTCATGGGTCTGCCAACAGGTTAGTTGAAGGGAGGACCCCACAGCTCAGGGGAGGCCAGATAACTGGCACAGGGCCGTCTAGGAGTCAGTCATCCAGCTTCCTCATTGCCTCAGTTGCCCTGCTACTCTGGGGGCTTAGACCAGTGGTTTCTCACAGACCTGATATTCCCCCACCCAACTGTCCTGAGCCAACCTGGCACCCACACCTGAGATGAGCACGAGCAGCAGGTCATCAGCTGTCAGACCTTCAGCCAGCTGCCGAATAGCTAATGCAGCCCGCAGTGCATCACGGTCTGGCAGGTTGTCCTCTGCACCCTCAAAGACCTGGACACGGCTGTGTGACTTCAGTAGCATCTCCCTGGGGGTAGAGAGAACAGAGAATAAGAGATGGCATGGGTTCTTCTCCTCCCATCTAATGTCCCAGCTGTACAGGTGATGGGCATGAACAAGGATGCCTGCTGACATCCATCCTGGAACCAGGCCAGACCTAGGAGAAAAGGGAAGCTGGTGAGGAAGGGAGGCCTGATCCAGTCTGAGTCCAGGCCCAGGTTCCCATCCACATGGACAGTGGGGAGCAGCCCCCCAAACTCCTTACTGCTTGCCAGTGTACTCCATGGCAGCACGGATCCCTTTGGGAACGCTGATCACTCCCTGCACCAGATGCTTCCCCAGTAGCTTCTCAGCTGCAGCTGCCATGCCCAGCACAGCCTTGCCGAAGCCCACCAGGTAGAGGTTTTGCCGCAGCTGAAAGCTCCGATCCCGAACCTTCAGCTGTCCGCTGCCAGGGTCCAAGGACAAGGCCCGGTGCATCATGGGGCCTGGCAGGACAGCAGCAATAGTGCTCTCAAAGAGCTTCTGAGCATGCTCTGCCAAGGCCATGCCACTGGCCAGCCGTGCCCCTGGGCGCCCCCAGAGGAGTAGGCGTAATGGGGCTCGGGCCAAGCAGGGCAGGACCTGCAGGGCTGCAGCCATGCCCCACTGCTTTCAGCTTCGCCTGGCATCCATAGCCACCTGGGGGAAAGAAAGCACTAGTGAGGCGTCACAAGGACAGAGACACGAGCACCTGAGGGCTTAGGGCCAGTGGACCCCACAGCTGCTGCAAGAATGGACCATCTGCAAGTCCCAGGAGACTTCCTGAGGCCCACAGCTGCCAGATCTCACTCCAGTCCTTGGAGCCCAGGCTTGCCACCCAGACATGTCCGTCTCTTATGCAGGCCACACGCTGGTCCTCTGGAGACTGTGCCTGGAGTCCAAAGGTCCTGGTAGCTGAGCCCTCCTCCAAAGTCACCCACTTTAGCTGAGAGTTAATCATTCACAGAGTGAGCAATTCCTGTCAGTGGTTCCAGTCCCACCCCTTCACCACCCCTGCACACTCAGCCCTCACCCAGGGGCAGCACCCCTTTCTGGCGCTACTTCCTTGCCCCTTCTGTTGTCAGGAGGCTGCTGGCTGTCCTACCAACTGACTCAAGTCCGTTGACCTCCACCTCTATTTTATTAGCTTATGGGTTTGTGTTGGGAGACTGCAGGCTTGTCAGGGCACTGATAGGCCCAGAACATATCCTCCTCAAGTCACACAGCCTGAAGAATTCCAGCACTCAGGGCTAGTCTAACAAGAGGTTAAATTTCAAATCAGAAGTGGCAGCAAAGTCTGGCTCATGGTGGAACCTCAGAGAAGTCCCTAGATGCCACAGGAGGCCTTGTATCAGGGGACTCAATCTGTAGGACTGAAAAAGACACCCTTCCACCTACATGGTGGGCCAGACCCACCCTTGCCAATATCATGTCTTTTGGCTCCCACATAGCAAGACAAGTCTTGGGTCACACCACCCACAGGGGTGAGAGCCAAGTGGCTAGTGCAGGCAAAGGCCAGGCTCCCACAGGAGGGCTCAAATAATCATTTTCTCCACTGGGCAAGGTAAAGGCTAAAAAAGCCTTGAGGTGAAGGTCATTACCCTGTAAAGATGTTTAGGGACAAAAAGCTCCCAAAAACATCTTTAAAAAGGCATCTATTTTAATAAATGCCCGCTATAATGCTGCCAGTTTATTGCAGCAGCCAGTGTGGCCAGAGCAAAAGCAGGAGGCTGGGAATCAGGCTCCAGTTATACCACAGGCTTTTCTGAGTATCTGTGAAGGCTCCATTTTTCTCACCGGGCCTCGTTTGCAAAATGAGAAGTGGGATGAGATTAAACTAATGTTTTTCCTTGACAGCTCCGGACTCCCTGAAGCTGCCCACTGTTAACACAGAAAACCTGGACCCTAAATACCAAATTATCCCACACTCAAAAAACCTGGCTACTTCTAGCCACTGGCCACTTAGCCTCCTGTTTTTCAGCTATCCCATAAGAGATCAACCCTGTTCCAACCCAATTGTGAAAGGGAACACTGAGACCACCACCATGGGGACTCTGAAAATAGGCCCAACTTTTGCCAGGGGATTCCTGGGGCTAGGACCTATTAGGCTGGGAGCTAAAAGTATCTCAGCATCTAGCAATAGCTGATTTTGACAGCCTGGGTGAACGCTGTACTTATTTCCCAGATGGGCGCAGGCCTAGAGGATCCCAGCCCTGCTGCTGGATACCAGAGCCCAGGGCAGAAGAACGCTCAAGGTTAAGATTGCTAGAGAAAATACAGGATGTCCAGTTAAATTTGCATTTCACATAAACATGGAATTTTTTCTTAACAAACATTTAACAATGTTGTATTAGTTTTAGGTGTACAACAGTGATCAGGAATTGCTTTAAATAGGTATGTTCCATAGAATATTTGGGACATACCTATATTTAACTGAGATTCTAATTTAACCTGACGTCCTGTATTTTTTTTTTTTTTTTTCGCTAAACCCAACAACTCCAGTCAGGATACTTCTCTCAAACTTTGACGCACTACAGCCTAAAACCTGGAGATTCCGAGAAGATCCACCTTGGCTCCTCCCCACCGCCAGATGGAGCTGGAGCCACCTCGGCCATCGCCTGCTTGCACAGGCCCCGGAAGTGACGTCATTCTTGGCTGTTGCCTCAGGCCTCTGCGAGGGGAACGGCTGCAGCACAATGGTCGGTAGTGACACGTGAAATAAGGACCTGCTGCCGCCTAGACCTGTTGTGGTCCTGCCAAAGGACTGCTCCTGCAGGCTCTCACAGTGCAGACTTACCGCCCCACAGCTCCCGGCTGCGGCTTGCTGCGCTGTAGACCGGAAGTACTCGCGAGTGGGCGGAGTAGAACCCGGAGGTGTGGAATGGATGGGGCGGAGTTGGGGTACCGGATGCGAATTGCATTAGTCGAGGCGCTGGGTTAGCCAGAGCGAGTACTGAAGCTTTGGTTTGGCTCCATTCAAACTGCCGAGAAACATGTAGGGAGTCACTCCATGTCTTGGTTTCTTCATCTGTACAATGGAGGTAGTAATTCTCGCCTCACTGATTGCAATCATCTGTACCCTCCTTTATCTTCTATGATCAGTTGTCTATTCCAAGCTCCATTTAGGTGACAGGCACTGGAATGAGCAAACGGGTTGAGAATCACTACTTCCCCACAACCCAGCCCTCTGGAGCCAGATGAAGTCATCCCTGTCTCCCCACCTCTGTAGTCCCACGTCATTTATTGGTGTCCCCTTCCTCTTACCCTTGGGCAACCAAATAAGGGCTCTGACTCAGCAACAGTTCACTTCCGTGATCCTCAAACGTGCAAGCTGCGTGTAAAGACGAACGACCCTGAGCCCCCCTCACAGCCCCTACTTTCGTCTTGTGTTCACATTGAGCAGGGCTGGATGTTTTACACATTCAAAAGATACAAAAGAGTACACTGTTTTTACTTATGTTTTTTGGGGGGGAGGCAGTTACATGACAAATTACAGAACAGAGCTCCTAAAATCTTAAAACATATTTCTCACACCCATTCCCTATAGCAACTGCCACACCTCTCTGTAAGTCTCCAAACCATGCTCTGCTTTTGTCATGCACTCCTTCCCACTTCCTAGCTGTCTCCCTGGATTTTTCTTTTCCTTTATACTAGAGGCCTTTTGTTCCTTATCGATTGCTCCTAAATGCTTCTCCACCCCATCATTTAAACAAAGGCACCTTCAGAAGATCTGCCTTCTTTATTATTTTTAAATTTTATTTTCAGCCCTGGTGATTGTGGCTGTGTTGGTTGGAGCATCATCCCATAAACCAAATGGTTGTGAGTTTGATTCCAGTTAGGGCACATGCCTGGGTGTGGGTTTGGTCCTGGTCAGGGTACATGGGAGAGGCAACCAATCCATGTTTCTCTCACACTGATGTTTCTTTCCTTTCTGTCTCCTCCCTCTTTAAGATAAATGGGTATGTTCTCAGGTGAGGGTAAAAATGTGTTGTTTTTTTTTTTGAGTGCTGCTCCATGGGTGGGTGCCATGGTCCCTTTGGCCATAGGGGTGGGGTAGCAGTCTGATGGCTAGACCCCAGGAGCAGGTGGCCCTCCAGGGGCCTGTAGTAGCTAATGGGATCAGTGTTCTGACCGAAGCCCTTGTTCACTGATGATGAAGATGGAGCCAGAGAAGGTCAATGTGAGGAAAGGGCTGAATGCAGACATATCCTACCACTGCACTGCATGTGTTGTAAGGATGAGAACATGGTGCTGGGCCACCCCATCTGCAGTAGGCCCAAGTCCCACAGTCTGTCTGCCATGCCTGCCCAGGCAAGCACAAAGGAATTCCGAAGGACCTGCTCTCTATAGGGGCCATGCCCAGTGACTACTTTTGGACCAAAGGCCTGAGTGCTGCAGAACCCTCAGGTTATCATGCACATCCAGGACCTTGCCAGCCAGCGGTTGACATGGAGCAAGTCCCCAAAGAGTGTTCGTTATCAAGATCCAGGACACCAGCCTGCTGTAGCCCTTCAAGGAGCTGTGCGTGTACCTGATGGAGAAGAACATGATCATATGTGGAGAAGAAAGTTCTAGAAGACCCCACCATTGTGGGTTATGACAGCTTTGGGCCAGTGAAGAAGTTCTGCACCTTCAGAGAAGACTATGATGCTATTTCCAACCAGATTGATTTCATCATCTGCCTGGGGGGCAGGAGTTGGGACCCTGCTTTAGGCCTCCTTGCTCTTCCAGGGCATTGTACCTCCAGTCATGGCATTCCATCTGGGCTCCGTGGGCTTCCTGACCCCCTTCAACTTTGAGAAATTTCAGACACAAGTTATGTAGGTGGTACAGGGGAATGCAGCTGTTGTTCTCAAGAGCTGGCTGAAAGTCCAGGTCATGAATGAGCCCAGAGGGAAGAAGATTGCCACTCCCAGCAGAGTCAGTGAGAATGGTGTGCTGGCTTCAGACTGAGACACCCAGGTTGGAAAGCAGATCATGCAGTACCAGGTCTTGAATGAGGTGGTGATTGACAGAGGTTCTTTCTCCTACTTGTCCAAAGTGGACATCTACCTGGACAGGCACCTCACCACTATGGTGCAGGGTGGCACCTGTACCTCAGGTGTGATTGTCTCCACCCCGATGGGCAGCACAGTGAATGCGCAGTGTCAGGGGCCTCCATGATCCACCCCAATGTGCTGGCTATCATGATCATGCCCATCTTCCCTCAGTCTCTGTCCTTCTGGCCCATTGTAGTCCCTGCAGGAGTCGAGCTCAAGATCTTGCTGTCATTGGAAGCAAGGAACACCACCTGGGTGTCCCTGGATGGCAGAAAGAGGCAGATCTGCCACAAAGACAGCATCAGCATCACTACCTTGTGTTACCCACTCCCCTCTATCTGTGTCCAAGACCCTATGAGCAGCTGATCTGAGAGCCTGGCCCAGTGTCTGCACTGGAATGTGTGCAAGCAGCAGGGACACTTCACTGACCAGGAGGAGGAGGGATAGCTGCGTGCCTGTTGCACTCACTGTTGTCCATGGTCACGCACCCATGCAGGCATCAGATGTCATATCACTTCTATCAGTAGCCAGAGAAGGAGCCCAGAATCTGCCTTTCCCCAGCCAGATTAGCTGTTTTTAATATTTTATATCTGACCTTATTTTGCATTTCTAAAAGCCGAGTAAGCAACAACCAGAGCTCTGAAAGCAATACTGCACACACGTTATCCACCAGAGCCCATTGCCAGGGACCTTGAGCTGCCCTGGCTCTTCATAATTCTTTGTCAGGAAACTTCCATACATCAGTCAATTACTTTGAGAGGGGATCAGAGTGGATGATCTATCCTTTGGTGTTCAAATAAATGTCTCACAGTCAAAAGTCTTCCTTCAGCCACAAGCTTTCCCTAATCCTGCACCTTCTCCTAAATCCTTTCTAAGGGAACATGTGGAAAGTGATTGCAGGCTAGCAGATGGATGGGTCTCCTCCCTCCCCTGTGGTCCCCAGGCCTTGTCTCCTATCCCTGCTTTGGTGTGACAGGTGCTGCAGAGTGTCACACAGTGGCCCATGAGCCTGGTGGTGGCTAGGTGAGAGGTCAGCTCACACACACTCCTCACAAATCAGAGCTTTACCCACTACAGACTGGAAGGCATTTTCAATCCTGTGTGTACTTTTTAGAGATTCTCTCAAACTCTCTGTAGTGCTAAGTCTACATTCTGTCCTGTATACTTGGAAAACGCTTTCAGAGGGAAGGGCTTGTACGAGCATGAAATGGATGGAGACTTGTTCTGTGTTTGTATGTTCTGTGTGATGTGTATGGGACCATCTGTCCAGTCCGGAGTGGTAGCCATGGGATCTCGGTTAGGAAGCCATGTGGCTTCACAACTGTCACAAGAAGGTTGGGACAAACCAGTTAATGAAGAGAGGAGGGTGGCGGTGTTTTATGTTGGTCCTGGGTACAAGGACAACCAGTTGTTCCAGCTGTTGCCCCTGCTTAACCAGCCAGCTGGGACATGTGCAAGCATGTGCACACGTGTTTGCTACATAGGACCAGAGCTGGTGTACATCCCAAGATGGGAGCTGAGGCTCAGTTTACATGTGGCCTTGGCCCCCTCACCCAGCAGGTATCCTAAATCCAGGCCTGTTTCCAGTAACTGATGTCTCTTTGAGTGGCGTGTTCATCTGCTAGATTGGGGTGATAGGGAAGGGCTGAGTGCCTTCCCTATCTCCCGATCAATCAAATCTAGAGTGATAGGTGGGCTGTGCCTTGCTTACTTGGAGGGACACACACTCCAATCTTGTGCTTGTAAGAAGATGTCCAGGGCTACATGCATGGCCACCCTCAGTTGGGTCACTAAAGAGCTGGCTCTGAGGCCTGAGCACTGTCCCCGCTGTCCACATGTGTGTTGACATGTGTTGATCCCATGCTGTCTCCCCACTCTTGTCCCTGTTGAGGCACTTCAGTGTCTGGACCTCAGTGGTGCCTGGCACTTGGCCTGGTGCTGGACATGGAGGTGGGCTTTCACTGAGACCTGTGCACCCACCAGGTGGGCCAGCCACCTGCAGGCTGAGGGAGCCAAACCAAAAACCCTGGCTTTAGGTGCAGAAGTTCGGCATTTAAATTGGATCACCTATTTAGACAGAAAAGCAAGTGTTAACCCAAGCCTGAAGCAGCATGGTGGTGGGGTGGTCGAGAAAGCTTTGAATTTTTTTGAAGTAAATTCTTAATGTTTCACATTGCTAATATTCTTTAAATTTATTAAAAGTTGTTGAAAGCTTTATTACTATGTTCGGGTCCTTTCAATAAACAGACTTGAGTTGGGTTGAGTGGCAAAAAAGAACATATATACCTGTTTTTTATTTTCCAATTACAGTTTATATTCCATATTATTTTGTATTAGTTTCAGGTGTACAGAATAGTGGTTACACAATCATACTTTACAAACTGTTCCCCTGATATTTCCAGTATCCACCTGACACCATACATAGCTATTACAATATTATTGACTATATTCCCTATGCTGTAGTTTACATCCCTGGACTTGTCTTCTTTTGATGTGGGGAAATTGTAAATACTTAAAATTTCAGTTTGTCCTTTGCTTACAGTAAGCTGTCTTCATCCATCCATGCATTCATTCATTTCTCCATCAGTTAACAGACATTTCCTGAGTGTCTTCTATGTGGGCCAAATGCTGTAGCTGTTGTGATGAGTAAGAAGTGGTTCTTTCTGATGGGAAACTTACTCTGCTTTTGTAATTTCATTCCCACATGCTGAGAGGAGTGTAAACTTGAGCACTTCTCTAATTATGTAGTGCCAGAGACTCATAAACAGATACCATTTACTGTGTCAGTGCTGTTCTGTCAAACTGTAAGAAGGGGACTAATTGTACCCATTTTTTTTTAACCTCCCACCACACCCCACAGCTACTCACAAGATGCATTTAACAAAAGCAAAGTTTAGATGCCCATTGGACTGTGAGCTTCTGGAATGTGATGAGTTGGCCTAATTCATATTTGTACTTGTACTGCTTTCTATAGGGCCAGGAAAAAATAGAAACTGGAATTTTCTTTCTTCTTCTTTATTTTATTTTTTAATCCTCACCTGAGGACATACTTATTGATTTTAGAGAGAGGGGAAGGGAGAGAGAGAGAAGAGGAACATCAATTGAT